ACGAAAATGAACAATTATCGTTGCACCTTTTCTATATTTTATATTTACTATTAATTAGATAACATTAATATTTTCACTTTTTTCGTTCAAATAATAATATGATATTGTGACTGATACACAAACGTATAAACAGGTAAACTGACTTGGCATTAAGACCGCACATTTTCAGTGTCAAATTTATTGTAATATAGTATTATAATATTGATATTTCATATTATATTGAATTTTAAACGATTTTCGTTGATTATTATTACTTCAATATTCGTCGATTAGAGATATTATAGCCTGTAGATAATTATGAAATAGCGTTATAGTCTAATAATAATTATATCCAGTAGTACTTAGGCGTATATACTACTTCCTGTACAGCTGTACCTAATCCTCCTCAAATACAATATTCGATTTCTTCGATTGAAATATTACACCTTTTATATAATAATTGGAAAATAATATTACGAATCGATATTATGTCGGTGCCGTGAAAAACGTCAGTAGGTATATAAATACAACCGTAAGTAAAAGTGGAGATGATATATAAAACGAATTACGATTTATAACACGATATATAAAACAGTTTCCCTTGATTGGACGACGATGTTATGTAACATTTGTTTTCGATAGAAAATAAAAATAATACTCCCGGAACTGTCGAGATTTTTTTATTTACTACTTCATTTTTAGTTTAATAGTCGTACTCGACAACTATATTTTATATGGCGTAGTAGCAGAATGATAAAATTATTTTCACCAAACGAATGTGTATAAAAAAAAACATTTTACAGTAGGTATATATACTTATAAAGAACTATAAAGACAAAATATCCAACATAAGAAAGTAAATCCGAATAATATTGAGTGATATGAAGTTGAATTTTACGAAAATATTAAAAATTACATTAGAGCACTATTTTGCAAAATCGAAGGTTTTTTATAGCCAAAAGATGGAGAGTTTAACCGTGCATACTGCATATTATTATATTACTTGCAGTTTAATATAATATTAATATCTATAATGACTTACTATCGTTGTCAAACAGTTGTTTGGTACTTATTGAAACGTTACATACTTACATCTAATATAATATTGTACTGTACACATTAATGCAGGCCGTCAAAGTGCATAAAACGAAAAAAAAAATAGTAGACGGTATAGTGTTTTATAAAATGTAAATTTACATGGTAATCATTAATCAACATAATAATTTCAGTATCAATTCGACGAACAATAAAAATGTATAATTATACATTTATACCCGAATTCACCTGTTACATTATACTTCTAAAACGAAGTTAACACGCTAATCCGAAAGCAGACTCATTAATAAAAAATAAAAATAAAACCGGAATATCATACCTGTTCAAGAATTTTTTTTTATGGCATAAATATAATGTGTGTAAACGGCCTCTTGACCTATCGGCGAAAGTTATAACACATATTTAAACATTGAATTTGAATACCGGATTTTAAATTACATATTTTTATTTCATTCAAACGTAAATTGTACATATTTCATTAATATGTTCGCATCTTTATGAAAGCATTTTCGTAGAAATTACAACCATAAAAACGAAACACTTTGCGTGGTGTATACATTTTGGTGCACACAGAAAGAAAATAATTAATTAATTACCGACTTTTTATTGTTTAATGCTAAATAAATTTTATACAACATTGTATAACAACGAATGTACATCGAATGTATTTTTGCAACAGCGATCACCGCGATCATAATACTTATACCTACATGAAAATCACAAAGAGACGTACCCCCAAAATAAGTAAATATAATATTATATGTACAATATATTATTATTATATTATATTTACAACGAATAAATAACAACAGAATCTAACAAGAACTTAAATAATATGATTGTTAGACACGTTAGACGTTTTGTTTATTAGATACCGAGTTAATAATAATAATAGTGTAATACTATTGTATACTCCGCAGCTGACACGTTTAGAGACTTTAACGACCGGATCTGACAGTGATCACGCGTGAGACGATTCCATCCGTCCTAACCCAAACTGCAGTGTTTTTCGAATTCTGTTTTAATTCCAAATAAAATGGTTCGTTAAAAATGTGAGAGTGACGGACCGAATTTGTCCGATATGGATAAAAATAATAAAAATAAATAAAAAGTGAAACTTCCGGCACGCCGCCGAAATCATCACTGCACATATGTGACGTGAATTATGTGATTATTATATTATTGTAGGTACCTGTGTAACATAATAACAAATCGTTTGATCGAAAGTCCATTGATATTCGTGTGTATGTTATTATTATCGTGCACGCCGAAGAATATCGAAAAGAAACGAACGAATTGTCAGTGCCCTGCAGTCGTCATTCGGGATCGGATTCGAGTCTGCAGAATATTATTTCGATGATTCTCTGGGGGGATCGTCGTGACGCTCGCCGACTGTTGGACAGGCGTATTGCACGAGGCTGCAGAGATGCGAGAGGCTTAATATTATATTTAATAACAATAACGATAATGATGACGACGATGATAACAATAACAATAAAATAATAATATTAATAATAATAGACCCACCTCGGGCGATGGCGCTTGCCTCCGAGCTAAAACAATTAAGTGAAAACGACGACGACACGAGCGCGCCATACAGCGTACCTTATAATATACTTCTGCAGTGTAATAATCGGTAAACGCCGACCGATTGAAATTCATGACTATTGTGAGTAACAATAAGCGCGAGTAGTGTATATAGGTAGTAATTTATTGTGATAATAATATTATATTGATCGGATACAATGCTCGTGGACCGGTATATGATAATATAATACACGACATTGGCGATCCAATACTCTTCTGCGGTGTGTCGCCCGGACGTTAGCGACGTAGGTACGTAAACAATAAATAAATACAGTCTCACAATCATGAAGCAAAGAAGAATATTATTGTTTCAAAAGTTCCGATGACTTATCTCCGGGCTACTATCGTCGTCGCATGACTGCGTATTTCATTTCATTATTATATTGTCGATATATGTTTTACCATCGTCGTCGTCGTCGTGTGAGTGTGTGATTACTATCGTAAATCAACGATCCATTATTGTACACAGGTAAGTACCTATAAGCAGAGGCGGCTCGGAGGAGGTGTATTACTATTTGATTCACGTGACTTATAAAAATAATAATGGTTGGGTGTTCTATTATGGTTGAAAAAGGTAAACAATATTTAAATGTTATTTAACCACTGTAGGAACCAGCTACGAATTCACTATTTGGAGATTTGAAAAAATTGTTAAGCATAGGTATGGTGTACAAATATTAAATATGAGTCGAGGGAAAAAAAGTTATATCAATAATCATAATAATGTTGATTGCCTATTTTATTAATTAATATCTATATGGACAGTTATCGCGGGCACCGATTCGCTCGTTTCACTAGTGGCTTATGTTTACTATCATAATATTATCATATACCTAGAGTGGTTTTCCATTTCGTACACGTCTTATAGTCTCGTGACTATTCTATTATTAAAACCGAGCGTTTTATTATAAGATTGTTTGAACATTTCACATCACTGAGACTTAATGGAATTATATCGAATATACGTTTAATAAGCTATGTCAACAACTCAAGAAACTTTTCGAACTTGCGGTTTAAATATCATCCGGACTGACCATACATAACAGATGTACATAACTTTATCGAGAGCCTAATTCATTGCTATCAGATATCTTTCAGAAAAAAATATTCGAGTAATACGCACAGTGTACTCACAGAATAATAATAAAAAAAAAAAATGTTTGAAATCCGCAATTTTACGTGTTATTCATGTTTAAAATATATTATTATTCTTTAACACTGAATAGCGATCAAATCCACTTTATAGAAATCAAATAGTATAGTTGTTATGAAGACTACTTCAACACGCGATATGTCTGCAGTTAAATACACACATGTGTATTATTATGACTGAAATCTGAGTACGATTTGCTCAAGTGTCGACAACTGCGGTTTTTACGGAAACGAATAATACTTTGTTCTGAAAACGAGCGTGCGCAGTATACGAGTTAATTATATTTTTGATTTACGGTATAACCGACAATTAAAGAAGAAAACTGAAACAATGAGAATGAATAATACAGCGACAACAACCACAACAATAATAATAATGATATGTGACGAATTAAAATATAATATTTTTTGTTTTTTTTTTTGGCGAAATGATACTATACGCGACGGCGGCGAATCGGCACGTGGGATTTTTCGTTCTTCTCAGACGGCACTTGTAAACAAATTAAAAACGAAGTGAAAAATATAAAATATTTTATAACATTATAATATTTCTATATCAAATCGACTGCTGCTGTGCGACTACAATAAACACGCGTGCAGCATATTACTGGCACTGAGCTGAGTTTCGCGAGTAAGATGGTAAAAACGTATTCTGCGGAACCGTCTGGAGTCGTCTCGTCCTCGACTCGGGCCACCGCCGTCGTATAATACCATAATACCGTCGAAGTGGTCGCGACCGGATTATCGTATTGTAATATTATGGTTAACGATAACGACAGTGTCCGCGGCGCAAGTACGCGAGCCACGTTCACGGCCGAAGAAAGGCGCCGCCGCCGCCGCCGACGACTGCGGACAAGAAAGTCGGGTAAAATGGGCGGGCGCGGGACGGGCAGAGTACGCGGCTGCAGAGTGGGCTGCCCGGACGGATGTTGCAGTGTCCGGTCCGCGGAGGGCGGGCGGCGGGGAGGGGCAATAGTTACGATGCGCGCCGCGCCGTCGCCGTGTGCAGCGGGTTCGGTAAAAAGCGAAAACCTGCGGACAGCCTCCACAATAAATACGCCGGCCGCCCCGACAGTTGTATCATTACAGTCGTACAGTTCAAAGGAACAACAACAACCACAGCGATCAGCACCAGCAGCAGCAGCCATCACAACCACCTGCAGCTAGCTACGTTCAGCAGAGCAATTCTTCGTGATCGAAAAATCGAAAAACCAACCACAATCACCATGAGTGTCGCGTTTAAGTTCGGATTAGTAGTGTTGTCGGCGTGCGTGTGCTTGGCTTCGGCCGACCCGATCCCCGCAGCGGCGGTCAGGACACAGGACGATGGATGTGCCGGAAACCAGGACTCGTTCGCGTGCGCACAGATGCAGTTCTACCGGGCCGCCCGGTCTTTCTTCGACCAGGACAAGGTTGATCTGTTAGGAGGTTTGTCCCTCGTCAAGACCGAGAAGAAGGGTAGGTCCCTCGCCGAGAACTCCGAAGATGTCAACAACGTCGAGAACGCCAAAGACTCCAACGACCGCGAGACCGCACTCGAGGACTTCACCATGCACAAGGTAATGCGTTTCTTCCAAGAGAGGACCCTCCACTGGAACTTGTCGCCAATCGTCACCGAAGTCTCTGAAACCGCCCGCAGCGTCGTCGACCAAATCCCAACACAATTCAAATCCAAAATCTCCAACTACATCGAAGAAGGTAAAAAACAAAATTCAATACAATTATTTTAGTTAGATATGATAGTTTGTTTTCGCTACGATGAAGTATATAGCTAAACGTTTTGAATTCTTAATTAACTTAAATTATTAGTAATAGTTTGACACGGACAATTAATTATTCTACTGCCGACTAGCAATATTTACATAATATTTAATTCATTAGAGGACAGTCGAGGCTCATTGTTTTATTACTTTGGCTTAAATTCGGTATTTAATTTTCTTTTAAACGCCAATCAAAACTTAATCGTTCCTATTAATAACCACAATCTATTTTGACAAGTTTTCTGTCATTTTTATGCATTACAGTTTTTTTCTTAATGAGAATCATAAAAGTATATGATTAAAAAAAACACACTTCTTGAGGCGTTCAAATAGTCATTTACTTTTTATTCATTAGTTCCGACTAATTATCGATCGTATAATATTGTCACATTTATTGGCAATTTGCGGTGCAATTACTACCTACTATGGTACAAATGAAACAAATCGAAATGTAATCTAATTATCTCGCACGTGTTCGATTACTATGTACTAAAATGAAACGTTTTCAAAACAGGCCGTGGTATCCTCAAGAAGAAGAAGTTCTTGAAGCATCTTATCCCACTCTTGATCGCTCTGAAAGTCAAATTATCCGCCTTTGTCGTTATCGCCTACGTCGTCATCGCTTTGATCGCCAAGAAGGCTCTGTTGGCCTCTGTCATCTCTCTGCTCGTTTCCGGATTCATTGGTATCAGAAAATTGTTGGCCGCTCAACACCAAACACCTCACCATGAAGTGGTAAGTTCCTCGTTATTTATTTTTTACTCATAATGGGGGCTGAGACACTCAAAATTCAAAATATTCATGTGTCGCACGATATTAATTATACTACAACAATACGTTCAAAACTCTCGAGGTATAATTTTAACTTTGACGGAACTCAAGAGATCGCGAACTCTATACACAAAATCCTCTCCCCGGGGCATATCATTATCGTCTAGTGGGCGACAATTATTCACCCCCCCTCCCCGCAATCCCGATCCTCGCTGTTTAACAATATTATTAATTACGAATATTTTTTGTTCTGGTGATCGCAGATCGAGACACACGCCGGACACGGTAGCTACGGTAGCAGCGCCCCAAGCGGTTACAGCGCATCCAGCTCCGGATGGGACAGCTACGGAGGAGGACACGACGCCCACGGATCATACTCCAACAACGTTGGACAGACCTTGGCCTACGGTGGACAAAAGCCAGTTGCCAGATAGAGACTACGGTAAGTCAGAGTAAAATATCATATAATAATAGGTGATCGTTACCACCGTCGTATAAAACACACGCACACACGTGCCCACATCATATATTATAATAAACTGATGCACCTACGGCGGTCAAGGATGACATCACACAAATACGGTGCTTTTATTCTATATAAATCCGCGGTCGTCCGACCGTAAACCCGGACGGACATCTGAATGCGTCGCACTCGTTTTCTAGGTTAATGACGGCCGCGGAGGCGGCGTTTTTAATCCAACTCTCCGCCGCCGGTCGTTGTGTACATTCACCCGGTGGTTAGATCGCCTTATAAAAATATATACAATAAATAATAACGTTTCATCGCCGGCCTCGGGATATATACACATATATAATACACTCGACTACGACGACGAAGACGGTTAAAACATAACACGCGCAGTATAAATAATAATAATAATAATAATAATATACACGTTTTGATAATGTTTAATGCATTGTAGGCGTGTGTGTAATCGAATCGCTTTTGGACCACGCGGGGGGGACCCCCTCGGGAGAAACGATCAACGGACGAGGTGAAAGTCGGGCAAGTTCAAGGGGGACCGGGTGTGCCGTGATTCGTTTATTTGTATTATATATTCCTTATTTTGTGAGCTCGGCATCCACACGTGGCACACGCTCGCAGACCCGTTTGAGAGATTTCGAATCGATAGATGATCGTTTTTCCGGGCGAGTGAAAGCTGTCGTACTACCAAACTGGTTTTCGGGTCTTCGGCGTTTATTTGGATTTCCGGAGGCCGAGAAACTCGAGCTGATTCTCACCTCGACGACGCGATAATAATATGTAGTTCGGGGCGGTGTCCAACGTAGTTTTTATACATTATCATTATATTATATATATTGTGTGTGCGCATGTACGTCGAACTGGTTTTGACGATAGTATTACGATGATAATAATATTAACTATGATGATAAAATCACCGTCTTCTCGGCGCTGATCAACATTGTACGCCGAGAACTCGTTTTGATTTTTTTCATATTTTGTATTCCCAGTACACCACCACCACCACCACCACCACCACCACCTCTTTAATCTTATGATTTTTCGGGATCCGATGATGGCGACGCCTTTATACTAATACGAAAATTTTTTTGTTTTTCTGTTTCCAGACGTGAAAGGCAAGCCTGACTATTTGTATATATATAATATTTGTGCAAGGTCTTGCCCGCCGCAGCTCAACAACAATGGTGAAAACAACATCAGCAAAAAATACACAAAAAAAACTCACAAATTATTTATTTCAAATTATCATCGATTCCGACGCGGCGCGACACGTAACTCATACGACACCGGGACGACGAGCCATCGACTGCCGACATTTTTTATTCAAACAAGTCGATGATTCGGCTACTCGCGTATATTTACGACAACTACTACGATAGGGACCACGTGACTGACATACCTATTACCGACGCGACATTTATATAATATCATCATCCTCTCGTACCCGACTCGTTAATTATTTATATTTAATTTTTATAATAATATTATATTATGACTCTTTACTTGGTAGGTTGACATTAACCCGACAAACCCGAAACGGATATGGTGTCATCCACACGACTGACACGTTGACTGAACGTACCTATGTAATATTTTTACCATAATTTATTTTCAAAAATAACCATAACTACGCATATATTATATAGCATAATAATATTATAATGACAAATAGATATGTGCCAAAGACATAATAATAATAATAATATATCAACAATAATTATTATAATACTACGTGTAGGACATGACTGACTTTATAGCCCCACTCGTTGACTTCACTGACTTTGACCGTCGTCGTGATGCACTGTCATGACGACCATCAAAATAACGACCATTTGACAACACTAGCTGACAACGTATATAACCGACTCGATTAGCTTATCCGCTCATACTATACTTAGTCGTATCGGACGTAAGATAATTATATTTATTTATTTTTATCCGTTTTGTAAAAGATTTGTATTTTTTATTTAATAAATAAAAGCATTTAGTTATTGCCAAAGAAAATGTCAATACGAAAGTTATATCTCAGTGTTTAGTATATTATTTCATTTTATCATCGTTTCTGTTGTCCAAGTCTATATGCTGTGACCAAACAGTGTCTCGGCAACTATCGTTATACACTTTGCACTACTTAATAACTGCCATGTGTCAGTTGTATTCGTTCGTTTGTACTTCAGCACCGAAATTGCCTACACGCACGCCTGCCTGTGTGTGTACAACGATGGTACTACAGCATATTATCTACCTTTTGTTCAAAAAAAAAAAAATGAACCAGAAAAACTTTCACTCGGACAGTAATATCGCAGTGTTCATTGGAAAAACCTCATCGTCCCGCCGAACTGGTAGGTGTACCACACTCGCTCGATTCTCTTGCCGTTGAATATAATAATATTCCATCTTTTAATACACAAACAAATAACCATTATATATATATATATATATATATACACATATAACATATATAAACATATACACATTTGTATAGATATATCATAATATACACACACACACACACACACACACACACACACACATACATAGTAGGTATATACATTTTCCAATTTCAACTTTGTCAGACACACACTTTGTTTGCGATTCATTCATCGCACATACATTAAAAAATAAAATAAAACGTGTACGTGAGGTTTGCAATAACGTTGACACGATAAACCAATTACGGCGATTGAATGGAAAAGCATTATTCATCTGCGGCACGTTTCTAACACGACGTGGCGTATATACGAGTCGTTCCGTCCGTTGTGTTATCAATGGTACATTGGTACCTATCACTGCAGTCGGACCACAGGTGGTTGCCGATAACTATATCTAACAAAATATTAACATCTTTCAAATTAAAAAAAATAAAAATATTACAATAGTGTTATAGGTAGGCAAGTGGTATACGACAACCCGCGCCCGGTCCAGCAATACTGAACAGTTATGGCGAGGGCGGTGTTGATAGGTAAGATCGATACCGTTGTGTGTTTTTCTAACAGATGATTCAAATGAAATAACAAATAGCTATTATCCATTACAATAACAATATTATCATAAGTCTGCGGAGGAGTGCCTATAGAGAAGTATGCGAGTTGTTTACTCGTCGACCAACGACACTAAAGTGCACTCGATGAAACATTATGCGATCGTCATGATCACATAGTTTTGTTATCATATATAGTTGTGTGCAGGTATATGAAATCTCCGCAACAACAAGAACGGCCCCAATCATCGTTAGCTGCTGCAGGCAACAAAATAATATAATATTCCGTAAGGGAGTGTTGGTATTATTATTTTATATTATTATGTGTACACCTCCTATCTTTCACCGGCTCGCGATTCGAAAGCACGCCGCCGCCGTGTGTACAAATAATAATAATGTGCGATTTTTTTTTTTTTAATGCCAGACACAAATCATCACAATACGCGATTAACTGCATATTTTTATAACGAATCGTTAGAACGGTTTTCTCAAATTAGGCCATCAACAAGACGTATCCATCTATGATAATATAGGTACCTACATAGCTGCTTCAACTGCAAGAAAGGCGCACACAAAGTACGCACACTTTTCACCTGATGCAATGGTAGGTACAACATCGAGTTGTATATTGATACGTTCAGTCCGAACCACTCGTTTCTCAAAATGTTTGGTGGACCTAAATAATTATATTATTATATTTATAGATATCGGAATCCATGTAGTCATGTTTCCGTGTAGTTTCACAGAACAAGTATTCGAATTGGGTCACATTCAAATGTATTAAGTGAACATGAAAATATTTCTACGCATATAGGTATCCTATGTATGTGTGCATATGAATATATATTTATCCAATAATAATAATAATCATAAAACAGGGAAAGTTTGTCTTATAAACCACACACACACACGCTTTTGAATAATTTACGGCAGCTGTTTATATAAATATTTATAATAATATAAAACTTTAAAGACAATATATATATATATTGTCTATTTTTATGGATTGATCATGATAATCAAATCTCTCCGGTTGTAATACAATATATTACGTCGGTTTTAGTAGTTTTGAACACGTTTTCTATTAATATAATATCGTACATGGGTTGACTGACCGAATAATGAATTTTGTCTTTTGAGTTTACTATAGAGTATATAGGTATATAACCCACGCAGATCCCATTTCACATAAAAATTTAAATAAATCTAATTACAACATTAAGAACGCTGTATTATAATTACACTGATAAAACATATGACCTGAAACGCACATCCGGACTAGCGATAAATAATAATAAATTGCTTCCCAATAAAATATTATGCTATTGTTAAAGAAGAAAAAATATATTTTGGTGATGTTTCTTTTTAAATGAACGATGTAATAATGTATATATCATTACCAATTTATTATAGAGGTACGTCCTCTGAAGACAAATTTAAAATATTATACCTGTGCTCCCATCTAGTGGCATGAATTAAATGTAGTAAAAATTTACGAATAAATTATTACGGGTGGGAGGTGTGTGAGCGTTAAGTTGCTTATTAAACGCGCCGTTTATTTGCCTCCCTTTCACACGTCTTATAATATTATCAACTGAATAAAGACATTTTTACGATCGAAATTTTTTCTCGTAGACAACCAAGACAACAAAAAGAAAAAATACGTAAGACCTCACTTGGTAAGACATTGATGAACATGTTTTTTCAATATTACAATAATAAATTATTACAATAGAAATTATTATAATATTATAATATTGTTTATGCGTTCATCACAGTATTATAATATTTCGATGTCACCATATCCACTAATAATACATTTCTAATAATTGTTACAAAAATTGCGTCTTATGAATTTCAGATAGGCCCCCCAACCAGCCAAAATACACAACGTTCATATTGTCAGTATTTAGATTTGATCGAATACTAGTTGCCAACAAAATATTACAATAATGAATCAACGAATAATA